ACAGACTTACAACTCGAAAATCCGGGATTAGATACCCCGCGGAGGGCACAAGAATGTGGTTTTGTTCAGAAAAACAAACAAACAACAAAAAAATAATATTCATCTCTTGTTTCTTTGTCAGCATAAACATAAACGGGTTCATAAATCCTTTTCACCATTATGTACACTAGTACAAGTCGCTAATATTATTTATTGTATTTATTTTAGTTACATAGTAACATTTTGGATAGTTGTTACTATAATGTTTTACAGCGTATAGTTCTTCCATAAACACAGAGGGAAATATAAGTAAAAAATGTGATATTATTCTAAAAAATCCGTTCAAATGTTTGAATTTGGCAGCGCATTTATTTTCCTTTTTTGGTCAAACACACGTATGTAGCTTGTCATATGTATTATTACATGAAACTTTGTGATAAACAGTTATAATTAATTACAAATTGACAACACCCTACGTAGAAAATACCCAAATATTTATTAGAACTTACTATAAAATCTCCGTGATCTATTTATCGTATGTCATGTCTCCTTAATTGAGTAACTAACGAGTACTCGTTTAGCCTGTTCCCTCTTCGAGAACTATGTTTTATGACGTCTTGCGTCACTTAGTTGGTAGCCAGGATAACTTGCACGAAATGACAACGGTATTTTATATTCATTGTTATCTTTAATTGAGCTTGTGCAGCTTTACATTGTAGTATTATAAAGAACAAACGCTGACATTGCTCTTGAAGTTTAGTTACAAATTATGCAAGAGCTTACATATTTACCTTTTTTCTTATGCCTAATAAGTCTCTGTAGTATGTTCTGTGGGTTCTGTAATATTATCATAAGAAATATACGTTTGTCTTTCTTTAACTGTTATTATTCCTGTAAAAAATTCCGCATATTGCCCTAGACAGCTCAGTGAAAACATTAGGATTGGCCGATCTTCGTTATGAACACTTAGCTGTTTGTGCAGCTTTACGCTAAACACAAACAAACCATATGCTGATTTAGGTTTGCTGTGAAATTCTGCTTTTCTTTTGTATTGTTACATTCCTTTTTATGATTTTAATATTTCTTTTACAAATAACAGAGAGCAGAATTAAAGTTTTTTGTTTTTTTAGGTTTTCAAATTCGACATAACTGAGACTAGTAAACATTACAGCATCACCTAGTGTTTTGTTTTATAATATCAACCTATTTTAAATAAAATAGCGAAGCATTTTCTTTATTACCAAAAGAAAAAAAAAACAGCAACAACGTGCATTCGAATATTTTAGCAGCAAATTTATGTGAACTTTATCTTTCAGTTAATAATGCTAGCAAATTCTGTAGAGCTCTTGTTGTATAGTAATTTTAATTTTATCAGTCCTACTTCAACTTAAAGATCTTATAGGGTTAAAAATTATTGTTCTATCTTTATGGATAATATTTTATACAATATACCATCCACAACGAAGTTATTCGTGGAAGTTAGGCCTAAAGAGTTGGATGTAAAAATTAACCCCTGACAAATCATTTCCATGAAAAAGTCAAATTTAGCATTAAAAAATCTTCAATATATAGTAAAGTTCGAGTTAGACTATAGTTACAAAAATATCGCACCAGTAAGATATCGTAAAGTTGAAAGTGTGGTAAGATATTACCTGCAGCAGTAAATTATTTTAAATTAGATATTATGAATGTATTCTTGTGTATTGTGTTATTGCATCCACGTAAGACATACCATCTGATAATTTAACTTCATCATAACTTGTGCTAATTTACAAGTCAAAAGAGAGATATTGCTGAAATCGGCTATCCGTTTTATTTTAACATTTGTTCAATGGTGAGTGTGTTATGTGTGATCATACTGGCAAAGAGCACAGGCCTGGTTCTTGATTGAGTACAAGTTAATTTATATATCATTTTTGTTTTAAAGAAAATGTTGGCCTCTTTAAGATCAGAACATTATTATTTATAGACCGGTAATGGCTTTTATTGTATCTGAACAGTTAAAATATTTACCTATGTATACAAGGCTCAAGGCAATATTTTACCCAGCAAAGAACCTGCTCTAAACCTTGTCTTTTGATGGGAGTTCTCTAAATGGATGCCTAAGGCAATATCATACTGCCTGGTAATCTCCTCACGTATTTAGACTTATTATCTACAATGTCTACGTCTTACCCTGTTTGTAACTCAGTTGTTGCAATCTGCAAAGAAGGTTGTCAGGCAGGGTAGTGACGTCAAAGGCTCGTTTAGTAAAGCCAGTTTTTTAGTTTGTGCTAAAATATCTGAATCAAACTTGTAGGCCCGGTTCATGTTAAACTAAAGTAAAGTAGTTTGTTTTTGGTCAGGCTATGTTTTGTATTAAGTACATGGGCCAAAGTTGACCAAATAATACCTAATAATGGACTGCCATATGCACTAGTGCTTTATGTTTGTGCAACGTTAGTTAATACAAAATCATTAAACCCACAGACCATTACTTATCATTACTTTATTTTTTGTTAATGTTTTGTTATGTTTGTTGTTTGGCCGAGTGATTTTATGATAATAAAGGCAGCCATTTTCTTTAAAAAGAAATTTACTGATTCTGGTTTCGGGAAATAAGGGTGGAATAAAGGCAGACTACTCAAAACTCGAACATAACGCGGATTTTCATCAAGTTGAAAACATAATCTTCAGCTCTATAACCTGATGATGATTGTTTGAATTTTTACAGCAATTATTTGTGTAAATAATGAAAGAAAAAACAGTTAAAAATAAGTGATCAGGGCTAATAAAGAAGTGGAAATTTAGTCTAGAATTTTTGAAAATCGTGAATTTTGATTTTTTAATTGTCAAAAAGTATTTTTACTGCAAACTGTATTTAAACTATTAACGAATCTTTCTAAGAAATAGTGTTTTTAATGTTTTATTTTTAGAGCTAATTAAAGCCAAAATCCAATAACAACGACTTCTACAATAGGGAAATTTAATGATTAGAACGTTTCGACACGTAGTATTGGGTCACCACCAGGTAACAGTTACATTCAATGAAGCAGTTTAAATAAATTCAGAGAGCATTACATGTAGTGATAATAAGGATAAAGTTCGTAGGTGGCGTTAACTAAAATTTCGAGTAAAATTTGGTGTATATAAAATATTAATAAAAATAAAGGATGTGAGCCTGGATATTTATTTAGTTTTGGTTTTGATGACTTTATCAACAGCTTCGGCTATTTTCTCCAATGATGTCTGGTCCTCTTCGGATGATCTCGCTATTATTTTTAGTTGTAACATGATTAGTTGCTTATGCTCAACAACGTGTGAGGGTCCTTTAAGATGTTTTTTGAGCTTGGTGCTCATTTCTTTTCCGGTAACTCTGATTTAAAAGTGTTCTCAAGAGTTGCATTTGATTTTGTAGATGACTCCATTTTTTTATTCTCACTAAGGTAATTGTTAGTAATAGGGTTAGTTAATAAGTTTCGAAATAGTGATTCAAAGCTGAAACATTCTAAATAAACAGAAAAACTAGGATTTATACTACACATTTAGCATATTGACCTCAAATACCACGATTTGTAAGTAATTATTCATTAAGATTTTAATTACGTTTTGGGATTGGATACAAGTAGTATTTTGTGATATCAATTTAAAGTCATGGGTGCAAGAATGCGAAAGGTATTTATTTTTCATTTCAGCATTATGGAAATTATACCTTCTATTTCTAAGCTTTTTGTTAGGTTAACCTGTCACAAAAGTAAGCGTCAAGTGCTATAGATAAGAGTGTTGAAAAAGTTGCTTTATCTAGATTCGTTATCTTTTCTCATTCTTTTTCTTTCTCTCTAAAAAAAAGAAATTTATTTGCAAAAATGTCTCTAAAGATATTGTTATTGTAGAAGATAACGTCATTTACTCTAAAATAAAATAAAAAGAAACTTAAATATCTTCGGAATTGACGCTTACAACTTGTCGCAAATTTAACCTTTCTGGAAAGTTATAGCTAGCGTCATCTATTGAGATGATTTCAAATTAATTTAAATAATCTCTTAACTTGATTAATTCTCTTTATACGGAAAAATTTGTTGTTTTGAACTTCAATATACGCTGTTAGATATATGACATCAACAAATCTAATCCCAGTTTTAAGTTTATTTAAATAAACCCCAGTCATGTTATAATCTGTAATTCAAATGATTTTTAATTTAGCTGAAATTAAATTAGTTGTTTTTGTTGTTAAGTGCAAAGCTACACAATTGGCTATCTGTGCTGTGCTCACCGCGGGTATCTAAACCTGGTTTTTACCATTATGAGACTTTAGATTTATCGTTGAGCCACTGGGGGGCGGAATTAATGATAAAAGTCATTTCAATTTCTGTAATTGTAGTTTATATCAGTAGGAATGCACTTGTTATCATAAACAAAATGATAAATTTTATAACAGTCCAGTCTAAAAGCTGCTTTTCTTCTTTTTGGAAGCTAGCGACGCCCCTTTTGATGCCTGTTATGTTGTTGCTGCTTATAATCTCCATGGGGCCCGGCATGGCCAGGTGGTTAGGGCGCTCGACTCGCAATCAGAGGGTCGCGGGTTCGAATCCCAGTCCCATCAAACATGCTCGCCCTTTCAGCCGTGGAGGCGTTATAATGTGACGGTCAATCACACT